GTTCGGAATCGTTTGGGTTTGAAGAGGTTGATTTTGTAAAATTTTCAAAGGTAAATACTCAAAACTTGATGTGTACATAACATACAATAAGTATAGTATATATAGTATAATAAATTATTGTATTATTTTCTTTAATTTTATCTTCCATGTTGTACACTTGTACACCCTTACTATGAAAAATAGAAATTTGTTTAAAAAAAACACTTATGAGAATAGTGATTTATATTCATCTAATCTTTTTGTTCAGGAGTATGTGTTATTTTAACTAAGTGGGTTATCTAGATAAGGTTTGGCTTGGAGAACTGTTTCGATTCCTATTGTTATGCACCTGTTATTTTTTAATTTTTAAGCATAAATTACACTCATTTTCATCTTTTTATTTCTGTGTAGTTAGATTGTATCTATTGCTTAGTGTCATGATATAATCCTGTTTAGTTTACCACTAATGTTTTGTGTTGTTCTTGATTACCCATAGTTGAAATTGTGTTTCTTTATTTTTTATATTTTGATTCAGTATTCTTTATTAAATGTGTGAACTTCTCCAGCACTTATGCCATATTAACTATATGTACGTTTCCTAGGAACTAAGTAAAACCTAAAATCATAAGCTCTTTCTAGCAAATGTATAAAAGGGGAATAAACATATTCTAATAGTATAAACATTCATGAATCAGTAGTTGTGATAGAGTAACTTTAATACCATCAATAGTTTTTCCTAGTTTAATATTATTTTTTTTTGTTATTAATTATAGTGTTGTTATTAATATGTTAGATGAATATGAATGTTGAGAATGTGGAACAATGCGGTGATTCTCTCACAGTTGAAGAAGTGGTTGAAGTTACGAATGATGGAAAATTGTTATAGGATGAGTCACTCATTGAAAAATTCGCGAATATTATGGTGGAAGAAGTTAAGGCTAATAATCGCAGTGGCACAACATTTAGTAAAAGTGGTTGGAGTAATTTAGTCAAACAAATGAATGTTCAAACGGGGAGAAAATTTGGTTTAACCCAACTTCGGAATAAGTTTAATGGTTTGAGGAAAATTTATACTGAGTTTAAGAAATTATTATCGGAGACTGGCGTGGGATATAACCATGAGACGGGCATGGTTATAGTTGAAGAAGAGAGATGGGACAGGTTGTGCAAGGTTAGTAATTTAATTATTAGTCATAAATAAATAATAAAATCTTGTATATTATTGGTTATGTGGTTAATATTGTCCCAAAATTTGTAGGTTGTTACGAATGCAAATAAGTATAAAAAGTATGGATGTAAGCATTTTGACAAGATGTCGACTATATTTGGGGACACATATGCAAGAGGGATGCATGCCCACCCATCCACTACAGCACCACCCACAATCATTTTGCCCACTCCCAATGATGACGATGATGAGGAAGAGGGTTGTGAGGTCAGTCCCCCACCTTTACGTAAAGGTAAGAAAGCCAAAAGAGATGCTTTATCTCCTGGTATAGTTGCACTCTTGTCAAACATGAATGAGAATTCTGAGAGGAGAGCTGAGAGAATGGAAGCTGCAATAGAGAAAGCAGCTAAAGCATCTTCTACTTCTACTCGTGTATCTTCATGTGAGAAAGGAGATGATGAAGTTCTCTCTCCCTCAAAAAAGGATAGAGATTATGAAATGTTTGACGCCTCCATGCTCCTTTTACAAAAAATACCTGGAATTGAGATGGCCCAATTCGCTAAGGTATCGAAGTTATTACATGATTCTGAGAAGTGGCAGAAATTTTTTCTTTCGGCACCTGAGGATGTAAGAATTGGTTGGGCACTGAATGTTTGAGTTTTTCTTTATGGATGATTGTGTTTTGTGTCATCGTTTAACTTATTACTATCTCACATTTGGATGACTGTAATAACTTAAATACTTTTATTATCTCACATTTGGATGACTGTAATAACTTAAATATTTTTATTATCTCACATCTGGATAACTGTAATAACTTAAATACTTTTATTATCTCACATTTGGATTACTGTAATAACTTAAATATTTTTATTATCTCACATCTGGATTGCTGTAATAACTTAAATACTTTTATTATCTCACATTTGGATGGCTATAATAACTTAAATACTTTTATTTCTTGGATGCCTGTTAGTACTCAAATACTTTAATACCATTATTTAAATGTTTGTTTTATTATTTAAATGTTTTGTTTATTATTTAATTGATTTGCTTATTAACTTAAATGCTTTGCTTGTATTAAATCTTTAAATAGGGCAATGGATGTGTGGAACAATATAAGAAGAATAATTTAATTATCTGACGATGAGGAGGATAATGAGAGTGTCTTAATATTTGCTGCTCTTTTAGAAGAGCAGAACTTCTATCAAAAGAAGCGTTGTAGGGATTCCATTTTACAAGGGGAAACATATGTTATGGAGATTTTAAACGGCCATAGAGAAAGATGTTATGAAAATTTTAGGATGTACCCTGAAGTTTTTAGAATATTGTGTAGTACCCTGAAAGGTATAGGGCTAAAGGATTCTAAATTTTTAACTGTTTATGAACAAGTGGCAATCTTTTTGCTCACTTTATCTCATAATCAAAGGAATCGTGTTGTAGCAGAGAGATTTCAACACTCCACTGAAACCATTTCTAAACACTTCCATGCTGTGTTGCATGCAGTATGTCAGTTGGGCACCCATATCATTACCCCTCCTAATTTTTCTGTGATTCCGAATAAGATTAGAGAGTCTTCTAGGTTTTACCCTTACTTCAGGCATTGTGTGGGAGCTATAGATGGAACCCACATTCCTGCAACTCTGCCAACAAGTACACAACTTCCATTTCGTGGTAGAAAGGGTTATACCACACAAAATGTAATGGTTGTATGTGACTTTGACATGAGGTTCACATATGTGCTAGTTGGGTGGAAAGGCTCAGCTAATGATTCGAGAATCCTAAATGAGTGTACTGAAAATGAGGCAATGAACTTTCCAGCTCCACCAGCAGGTAATATTTTTTTATAAATTCACTTAATATATGGTTAGTTTATCATACTGTATATATCTTTATGTATTCTAAACATGGCAGGTAAGTATTATTTGGTGGACTCAGGGTATGCCAATAAGCCTGGTTATTTGGCCCCATTTCGAGGTCATACTTACCACTTTTAGGAATACCGTAGGACTAGACAACCTCGTGGTCGGGAGGAAGTGTTTAATCATAGGCATTCATCTTTGAGAAATATAATTGAGCGATGCTTTGGGTTATTGAAGATGAGATTCGCTATTTTAAGGGCAATGCCTCCTTATAAGTTTTCAACACAAGTATTGATTGTAATGGCTTGTTGCACATTACATAATTTTATCAAAAATCAGCATCAGCCTGATGACATATTTGATGGTAATGATCCTCCTCAAAGTGATGGTGAAGATGATGAGATTGTTGAGCATGTGCCTTCGGCTCAGCTTCGAGAAATGGATCAATTGCGTAATACTATTGCTGATCAGATTTGGAATTCTCTTTAGCACTCTTGATCCTTTTGAAGGTGATGGTATATTTTTTTCTTTTATATGTAATATATTTGTTGCTATTGTGAGCTTGCAATATATATATGTAATATAAATATTTTTTGCAGATATATAATTCAACTTAAATGCTATTATTGCAGATATGAAGTGTGTTGATGCTCTCTTGAAGGCCACATGTGCTGTTATGAAAATGATGTATCGTTGCCATTGTTATCCACTTTATGAACTTCTTATTAATTTTTAGTGACAACTACGTATTGTTAATGCTTTGTTCTAAACATTTTATGTACAACTTAAACGTGTTTAATTTATTGGTTGAATATTTCAGGACTTGTAAATGTTATACACTCTATTTCAATTATGCTTTCAATTGAGTTTGTTTTTATTTTAATGTTGTGTTGGACTATACAGGTATCAGGATAACAAAATTGAAGCAGGTTATTGTAAAGAACTTGTAAATAGGTTATTGCAAATTTTTTTTACAAATGTTGACTCTCATGTAGTATAATAAAATGTGACTAGAGATTATTTATTTTTAATATTGAGTTGGACTATACAGGTATAATGATAATAAAATTGAAGCAGGTTATTGCAAAGAACTTGTAAATAGGTTATTGTAAATTTTTTTACAAATGTTGACTCTCATGTAGTATAGTAAAATGTGACTAGAGATTATTTATTTTTAATATTGAATTGGACTATACATGTATAATGATAATAAATTTGAAGTAGGTTATTGCAAATAACTTGTAAATAGGTTATTGCAAAAATTAATATATATATAATTTGGTGGGGGTTTACATTTTTTTACAAAAGAGAAGGCAAGAATCTATATTATGGAGTTAAATTCCCACCAGTGCAGACTTACAAGAGTCGAAAATTATTATCAGAGCTGTGTAGTATTTTTTTTTTCTTCTTTCGCTAATGCGAAAAATGAGCAAAATGAATGAAATACAAACCTATGGACAATCATCACCAAAGGAACAAACTATACCAAGAAATTTCAAATAACTTGAAGTGTAGTTTCAGATCAAGATAACATGCAAAATAGTTGAAATTATTGGTTCAATTATTAGAACTAAGATTCTACATTTTCGCTAAAGCAGTTGCTTCTGTAATTACACTTTGGCTATATATATATATATATATGTTTGTGTGTTCAAATTTCAATAAATTTATTAAAAATATATAGACTATTTATATAGAAATAAATTTATAAATAAATTTAAAATTTATAAAAATAAATTAAAAACAATGATAACCAAACATAATTTTTATTTCTGTTTTATTTTGTTTACAACAGTTGGAGTTACCAAATATGTTTTGTTTTTAAAATTCTTGAAACGCATGACTTACCAAACGTGTTTTGCATATTTTTGTTTCCCACATTTCTACAGTAAAACATCGTTCCCAAACGTGCTTCCGATTTTTGCCAAAACACTCTAATAGTAAAAACGCTATTTCTGTTTTAATCAAAAAAATAAAACTGCTAAAATAAAACGCATGCCAAACGGGCCCTAAGCCAATAATACAAACGAGTGTTTGTTTTCCTTCTGTAAACCCTAAATAGACTTGCTTCAAATTCCCAAAAAAACAAAACAATTCAGCCATTTTTGGCAGAGCCCTCATCTACACCATCACGGGAAAAAAAAAAAAAAAAAAAAGTCGAAACTGCCATCTGAAGAATAGAAAAATGAGTTTACGCTTCAGAGATACAACCCGGGATAAACAAAAGGAGGATGAGCCACGGTGGTCTCCTATTAAGAAGCAGTGAATCCGTGTCTGGTGAAAGAGAAGAGAAGGAGTCTCTGACCTAAAGTCACTAAGATCGTAAAGATTGATTTACAGAGAAATGGCCCGTATCGGCGACCAATTCCTTACCTTCCTTTGCGCCTATCACGCTGAAGGATGTTTGTCTACGGATTTGAAAAATTGAGGATCACGGTCATCGCCTCTTTCTCGGCTTCCACTAGGTAAATATATCTTCTTTACTCAATACGCTCTTTCAGATTTTCAGTTCCTATCAAATTGGCATGCGATCTCTCAGACAGAACATGGTAAGATTTCCTCTACTGCTTTCTTTCCCAAACTTTTCTAGTTTTCTTGAATTTGTTTTGTATGTATTGAGATTCAAATATGATTTACATATTGCTTCGAGTGAAAATTGGATGTGTCACCTACAGATCGAGAACAAAAAGAAAAAAGGAACCTCACCCCAACAATTAAGGTCTAGTTTGGGTGATTCAGAGTTATCTGATGTATCAAGTCTTCTTCCTTCGAGTGAAAATTGTTTGCTTAATAACAAATTTGTTTTGGGGAAATTAACAAAAAATGAACAAGTGACGTTGTTCAATTGAAATTTTGATTTCTCTTTGTGGAGATTGGACATCTGATCTAGTTGTTTAAGATTTTCAAGACCTGCTCGATCGCTTCGGGCACCACCCTCACCTTTTCCTCTTCACAGAACTATAAGCTAGGTGTACCTACCCTCGCCGAAGGTAACCTTTCAAATGTCCTCACCACTAAAAATAAAAGGAATGATTTTTTTTTAGGAAGGGGATTATATGAAGCACAATATATTTGGAATGCATTTGAGAGACATGAGGCTATGGGATTCTTTACTTATTGCAGAGAAATCAGTTCATAAATTTAATTGACAGAATCTTAATATGTTGTTGAATTGCATTTCTAAAAGAATTTAAAGGTCTAAAAGCAGTATCGCTTTTTTTACCTTTGGAAAATTTAAGTGATATATGCTGTGTATGTTTATTAAAGAAATTTTATATTATGTCAATCATATCTTTAACTTGGTTCAATTATAATCTGTGCATATCTTTAACTTTCAAACTGTTTCATTCAAGAGGAAGTTCTAATAGTAATTTTTGCCACAACTGGCATTATTCGTTGTAGAAGATGTCGCACATTTGTGAATCCCTATGTGACCTTCACAGATGGTGGAAGAATGTGGCGTTGCAACATTTGTGCTTTGCTTAATGACGGTAAATTAACAACTAACTTGTTTACTTAATAACTGCAAATTTACAATCAATCCGTAAACACAGCAATATGATTTATTATTTGGAAGTGCTGGGGCTTTATAGAAGCAAGATTTTTGAACATTGAATTCTGTCATGAACATTTTTGGGTTCTTCAGAAAGTAGCGGAGGGTGCCTTGTTTAATAACCCCCTTTTTTTTTTTGGTACATTCATTCAGGTACATGGATGCTATGGACTTTGGTGTTTTGAGTGACATGCCTGATATTAGAAAGAAAGCTTGTCGTAAATTGTTTAAGTAACAAGTAATTTTCTGTTCCATTCTAATGATTTTAATACTTGGATTTGAGCTACTTAATTTTTCTGAGTATTTGTTTCTCCTTGTCTTTTACGATTGCTTCCGCTTATAAGCATGGGAAATTTGGCATTTCTACTAGAAAGTTGGACGAATCATGAGTTATTGGGGAGATTTTTAGAAAATCTGATTAAATTAATCAGGCAGAAAGTTTTAGAGCACACGAGATGGTGGTTAAGATAAAAAATTCTGAACCTGGTTAGTGAAAATCACTTGCTAATCTTTCAAATTATATAAAGATAGAAATTTGGCATCATTTAACCAGTTCAAAGAGATTGTTGATGAGATGCAGAACTGAAAAGAAAGAGTATCCTGAACTTCCACTAGATTGGTCGTTGGTTTTTTATTTCTCTCTTGGTTTCTAAAATATATTTGGTATGGAATGTATGTCTGTGACATATTTGAAAGAATGTGTTCGGTTCTGCATTTGTTATAGTCATCAAACGAAGTCAACGTCCTTGCATAAACTGATTTATGCTAAAGCAAAAATAAGATATTATGTGAATTAATGGATCAATTTAAAATGAATAGAAGTGGTATAGGTGCAGTAGTATTTTAGATAAGTGTGCACTTAAATTAGTGTAATACAATGAAATGCTCATATCTCTGATAGTAGTTATTAAAAAATATTTCTTTCAGGAGCTTCATCGGGGCAAACTTTTATCCAGTTACGAGGATATGGTACATTGACTTAATGGCTATTAGTTTCATTAGAAACATGTCTCATCTTAGATCACAAGATTGAATGCAGTTAAATAAACAGCCTTCTAATTGAGTGAGTACGCATTTGTTTTTAAGTTGGAAACTTAAAATTGCAGCATTGAAGGAACATCATTTTTTCAAAATTGTTTCATTGTCCCCAAATTATGAAGTGTACCAATAACAGAACTCTGAAGATATATGTCCATGTTAAACCACATGAATTAACTGCTGTGGACCGTCAAAGATTTTCACTTTGAACCATTGTATTACTAGTGCAGGATTTGGAGGAAATTAGTTTATATCCATGAGGATGGCTGACCTTTCATCTTAGATCACCAATCACATCAAGAATATAATGTATGTTTTTGTACATTCATTTTTGTATATCTGTATGTCCTCTCTTTCGCCTTTTCCTTCCCCCTACTTTTTTAAGGCTTTTTAATATTTTCGTTATGTGACACAATTAAATTACTAAACTTGATATTTCTTTTTTGTTACAGAATGTGATTGAAAGATCGATTCTTACCGTCAAGATATTGTACGGACAAGAGGGAGCTAATATATATTCAAAATTGATGGTTATGTTCTTATTTTGCAAAAGATGATTGTTTCTTTTCGAATTTTGTGGTTTAGTTTTTATTCCTTGTTGACGTCATCATAGTGTCTTAATATATATATAAATATTTTTTTTTGACACGATACTAGACTTGATATTTTTGGTTTAACGAAAAGTAATGGATTTTTGTTATTTTTACTAATACATGTTATGTTGCAAGTGGCTATATGATATAATGTGCGCCTTATTTTTTCAAATTGAAGACAGGTATCATTTGTAATATTGAACACAGGTACAGGTGCAAGACAGATTGTTAGTTCCATTGGAAAGAAAAGGGATTTTATTTTTATTTATTTTATTTTTTATAAAAAGAAACCCCTCTTGACGACATGCGATGGACGTCATGATAGGACATAATAGTATAGTCGTTAAAAAGGCAAACACAAACCCAACATGCTTCGTGTGTCGTAAATGTGTGCATAGACGACTTTCCAATCATGTTGTTAAAAAAGTGCGTATTGACGACGCACGAGAAGAGTCATAAATGTTTGAAAGCAAAATTCATTTGGTTGTTTAACGGCGTCACATTTTAGTATTAATGACTTGTAAATCACACCATGAATAATATAGACTTTTCACGGCTTATTCAGTAAGAGCATGTGTATGAATGTCGTGAAAACCCAATAACGACTTGCATCGCATTTCGTTAAAACCTTTTTCCTTATAGTGGCATTAAGTGATAAAGCACCCTTCCAGACCTAATTGTTCAAGTAATCTAGGCAACCTAAACTCCTTATGTAATACCCCTAGTTTTAAAAATGATATAATTAGAATTTAATGATTTTATTTTCTTATTTTTCGGTGCTTATGTGGCTATGTGTTTATGTAGCTTAATGATATGTGTTTAATTGTTTAATTGATTATTTGACTAGTTGTAATTGTTTAATGTTAATTGTTTAATTGTTTAGCTTGGTTTAATTGTTTTAAATTGAAATTGTTTTGTATAATTGTTTAAATTGCTTTACTTATTTAATTAAAAGTAAATATTTATATTATTTTTATTTTTAAACGAAGTTGGACTTGGAAAGGATTAATGGACTATTTGGATAGTGTAAATGGATACAGTTTTTACTCATGGATGGATATACATATATATATGGGTATATATGTATTTTGGGTTAGTTTAATTATTAGTAATTGTTAATAATTAAATTAGCGTCATTATTTGTTATATATATATGTAATATCAAGTTTTAAGGTTTTAGATATATTCATTAAAATTATCGACTTGTATACATATATGTATTTTATATTTTATTTCTGTGTTTTCTTTGCCGACTCCTCACATGAATAGAATTAGGTTAAAACTATTTTACCTATATATATATAAATATATATATATATATATATATATATATATATATATATATATTTATATATCGTATTATGTCCGCTTAGGGTTTAAAACACAAAGCCAATTCAAGAACAGTAAAGGTTGAGAGAAAACAGAGAGAACGAGTTGGGGTTTGGCCAAGAACAAGGGTTGAACTGAGGAGGGGTATTGGACGCTTGCTCGTGGGTTGAACCTAGGGCAACAAAGGAGTTGACAACAATCAGAGGTCGCCGGAAAGCCTAGACAGAGGACAGTTAAAGGTTTCAATTCAAAACCTAGAGGCAAGTTCTATTTCTTACTTTCTCTCTTTGACCTGTGTTCAGTGCATGCCTAGGTAGTCTCCAGGAACTTAACAGACATTAAAATTGATTATGTATGCATGTAATTCAGATGTTAAACTATATTTTATGTGTTGATTAATTTCAATGTAATTGTTGAACAAATTGTTTCATATTCTGCTTTAAATCTTGTAACGATGCATACTATGATTTAAAAGTTTCTGGGAGAGTTTTGGGATATAGACGGACCTCTGAAAACCTAAACAAGACATTATGGAGTGTTTTTAGTATCGTCGAAGGTGAAGACGACGACAGAAAGCAGGGACAGAGCCGGCTCCCAAGGGAATGGAGCCGGCTCCCTTAGATTTTTGGCCACGGTTCTCTGTGTGAGAGAGAGCCAGCTCCCTAAGTCACAGAGCCGGCTCCCAAGGTAGGGGAGCCGGATCCCTTTGTGTGGGAGCTTGCTCTCCACTTTTGAGAGCAAGCTCTCTTGCATAGTTACTTAATGGAATTGTTTTCAAGCACGGTTTTGATATTTTTGGGGTTCCTGTACTGTTCTAGGTTATTATTAAGGATTTTAAATATTATTTCATGATATATTAAAATCCCATAATGCATAATTAATGTCTATGTGTTAATGGATTGAATAGTGTGAAAGTTTGAACAATTTTGTATACTGTTAACGGATATGAGGATTTAATTGCTTAAACTGATTTTAGCAACTTAAATGACTGAGACATTATTTTTAAATCTATTTTGGATGCATAATATGGTCATATACTTATTAGATTTTATTATGCTTATTCTGGATTTTAATTGATGAACCATTAAGTTCTGTTCTGTCAATTACATGGATGTTATTTTGGAGTATAATTGATGAACTACTTATTTCTGTTTTATCAATTATTAGACTGTTTTGCGGATTTTAATTGATATTTAAATTTAGCATTTATTGTATCAATTATTGGATTTGTGGATTTATTTGATGTATTACTTTGGATGTTGTATCATTTATGGATTTTGTGAATTATATGCACCGGTATGGGACGGTGACATATTAGGGATGGATTAGATCAAACTGCTAATTCCTACCTATTCATGCATAATGGAATGGATTTATAAAAAATGTAAATCCTACATATTTTCATGTCAGGTCAACTAAAACAGTTGAATGACATGCCGGATATTTGTTTTTATATTCTGCATTAGGAAGGATATTATATATATATGATTATGGTACCATGATATGAACTTGAGTCTCAGGATCATGGTTAGGGTGCGTATATCGCCTTGGATGGATAATTGGAACATAGGTAGATGTTCCCTAGTAGGTCTAGGTGTACATGGCCACTTTATGTACGATTTACATGTTACCTCCTATTCAGGTTGAGACAGACTTATGGACTAGCGAGTGTCCTATAGTGTGTATTTATACATATATGGACTACTTAGCTATTGTTGGGGTTGTCTTGGATGTATCTGCGTATCGGGTCTTTGCTTGGACTGTAGTTAAAATAGAACTTGTTTGTGGGCCTGACCTACTATCATTTTTCAGGTATTCATCAAGAGTAGGGATCGTCTACTTCATTCTTCCGGATTGTCTACAGGAGGACTGGAAATCAAAGGAAGAGGATCTTTTGTTCGAAAGATGGTGACTGAATCCTCATCAATGACATCAATAAAGAAGCACTCATCTTTCTCTAAAGAATATGGAGTGGCATTGAAGATGTTTAATTTGAGCTTCATGTTCCCAAAAGAAATATCCATAGCCCCAGTCCTACAGTTAATGTTGGCATTTGCTGTAGCTAAAAATGAACGACTAAGGTCACAGGAATATATCTATTGGGATCGTGGGCAGGTTTTGTATCCAGGACAAGAAAATTCAACCGGAAAATAAAACTTGTCCACTTTAATAAGAACATCTTCAATGATCCCACGTGGTTACTTCATAGATTAATCAGCAAGTTGCAACACTACTGACGTTGGTTTAAGCTCTCCCAAGCCTAATTGCTCATACACCGAGTAAGGAAGAAGATTAACACTCGCTCCAAGATCAAGAAGTGCTTGATCTATCACATTATTTCTAATGGTGCACGAAATGGTAGGAGCACTAGGATCTTTGAATTTAGGAGGAGTGCTATGCTGAATAATTGCACTGACTTGCTCAGTGAGATAAATTTTCTTAGAGACTTGGCTTTTTTATTTTCTCTTTTGAGTGCACAAATCTTTTAGAAATTTAGCATAGGCAGGGATTTGATTGATAGCATCTAGGAGAGAAATGTTAACTTTTACCTGTTTGAAGACATCCATCATGTCTTGAATTTTCTCTCCTTACTTACCAAAATAAGAGGGTCCCTTGAGGCATTCAGAAAAGGCGCTCTTGGCTTATAAGCTGTCTTAAGGTTGGGAGTAGATGAAGAAGTGACTTCACCTTCAACTCCTTTAAAGCTTGATGGAGTATGATGTGAGGGAACTGTTGGGATTTATATGCCCTGGCATAGCAAATTCCTAGCTGGATTATAGTGACATATGTTCCTGACATATCTGAAATATTTATGATTTATATAATTGGTGAATTCAATGTATTATGTTTCGATTCACTATGAAATTGATAGTGTCCATATAATTACAAGAAATATTTATATATATGTATGTGATGACAATCAATGCATAATATATAAATAGTAATTATAAATTGTTCATAGTCGGTAATTATGGATGGACTCATAATTAATTAAGACTTGAACTGGATCCGCGTTAGGTTGAGATATATTGCGAGAGCCGTCGTATGCAATTACTCCCTATCACCGTCATGGCATTTGACTCTTAAGCATGAGAAAAGTATAGACTCTTTTATTAATTAATAATTACTTTGATTTGTTCGGCGGATTCTTCGGGATCCTTAGACCGACACTTTGGGTAGTTGTGTAATTAATAGTTAGAGGGTTATATTTTCAATATTTGCATCATTGCTACTTGTATTTATTTTGTATTGATTATGGTTGATCACAAAGTAAATTCGAAGGCCTTCGTGTGTTTTTAGACAAAATGATTTATTATATATTTATTTATTTAAATTATTATTTTTGTCAAACAAATGTTTTATTGTGATCGAGCCAGAAATAATCAAAGGTACCAAAATAAATATATTAATTAAGTAGTCGGATTGATGGCTATATTTATCCGATAACTAATTATGCATAGAGGGGTCAAAGTGCAATATTGACTTAGAGGTTATTTATTATTTAATTGGAGTTCAATTAATTTCTTTTAGTGGAGTAGAAATTAATTTATGAATTAATTGAATTGGGTCCATGGACCGGGCCAATTATTAATTCATTGTAGCCAATAAAATAATAGGCCCAATGGATTCTCACTCATAGCCCAACTTGATATTGGAATCATATTAGATTTGAGACATATGAATTAGAGATGGAGAAGGATTTGTTGTTTCCTTTTCTTTATTTTTATGTTGCCTATAAATATACATGGTCTATGTATATTTTAGGGGGTGATTTTTATGAGAAAAAAAAAGGAATAAATTTTCTCTCTCTA